AAATGGACCGGTAAGTTGGCCACCAAGATCATGCGATTTGACGCCTCTAAAGTCTACAGAAATAAGCCAGCAACTATTCCAGCTTTGGAAGACAACATTTCCGAAGAAATTCGGGCTATTCCGGCCGAAATGCTCGAAAAAGTTGCCCAAAATTGGACTTTCCGAATGGACCACCTAAGACGCAGCCGCGGTCAACATTTAAATGAAATTATCTTCAAAAAGTAAATGTCATGGACCAATCTAACGTTTCAAATAAAGAACCGATGAGATTTTGCAAATTTTATGCGTTTTTTTTAAAAAAAAAGGTATCAAGCTCTTAAAAAATCACCCGTTAGTAAAACAACAGACGAAGGATTCCGTAAAAGGATTTATGATTCACACCACAAAGTTAACACTCCGCTTAAAGAACTGCCCGGGTTAAATATGGTTGATGACTTTCCAGTTGCATATTCTCTGCAGGAACGGAATTTATAATTGCTATATATCAAGATCATTTATTAACAATATATTATACTTTCAAAAAGGCGTACTTGTAGTATTGGTTGCTGGTACGATGATGATATCTGCGATTGCTGATATTGGTAGCCCGGTGATGATGGTAAAGTGAAAGCAGTGAAAGTATGGGGTTGTGGTTGTTGTAATGGTGGCTCTACAAGCGTTTCCTGCTAGGAGGAAAATTGTTAATGTATATTTTCTTTTCGTAATAATATCAGTATATACCTGCGCATAGGTAAGCATGTCATTAAAATCATGGTCAACACCATTACTAGCGGCTTTGGAACATACATTTCTTTTTATGCGGTGTGGGGATTTTAAGGAATCCACGTTCCATCCATCAGTGTCACTGTAATCTTCTTTTCTCCTTATTTCCTCTTCAGCAGCTTCAAAGCTTCTAAAATTCTCCCTTTTTTTGGTGCAAGGCTGGGTAGTCCAATTTTCCTCTGGCTTTGAATTCGCATCTCTCAGTAATTTTTGAACTGAGGAGACTTTTTTAGTATTTGGCCAATATAGAATTCCCC